AGGCCGCAGCGCTGCCCCCCGCGGGTGTGAACAAACCGGGCGGTGCCCGAGGCCGAGCTGCTCGTTCTCGGCGCGATTTCAGCGCGGTTCCCCAGGGACAGACGGCTCCTTGTCTCCACCTCCGCACCGCTAACAGCGCCAACGTGCGAGGATGAGGGTGTTCCCTGTTAATCCCTTGTCTAGCAAAGAGGATTTGGTGTCCTAACCCCGGGGCCCGGCGCACCGGGCTCCTCCCAGGGTTTCCGTGCCCCGCGCCTCGTCTCGTTCTCGGCGCGATTTCAGCGCGGTTCCCCAGGGACAGACGGCTCCTTGTCTCCACCTCCGCACCGCTAACAGCGCCAACGTGCGAGGATGAGGGTGTTCCCTGTTAATCCCTTGTCTAGCAAAGAGGATTTGGTGTCCTAACCCCGGGGCCCGGCGCACCGGGCTCCTCCCAGGGTTTCCGTGCCCCGCGCCTCGTCCCTGGAGACGCTGCAGGTGGTCTCCGGGAGCCAAGGGCTGTGCAGAGCCGACGCCGCTCCGGGAGGATCACATTTTTTGAGCAGTTCTCTGAAACCCTGCGCTCAGTGCTTAGCTATAGGAAAAGGATGCGAGGAAGATTGGACACACTTTTAAGCTCGTGTTGCTTCTGCTTCTTGAGTGCTGCGTGAGGTTCAGGTGACTCCTCCACGCCATCCCAAAGGGGGAGATGGGCCTGTGGAGCTGGAGGATAATGCAGGGAAAGACAGTCAGCAGGAGCAGTGGAGTGGCGTGTTTTCCTTGTGTGGAGCGGTGCAATAGATGAGGACTCTTCACCCTAGAAGAGAAGCGTCTCCCCTGCCTGAGGGGAGAGATGAGAGAAGTCTGTGAAAGTGAGACTGTTTTGAAGAGGACAAATGGGAAATGAGTGTTTGTAAGGGTAGTGATAGTTACAAACTGTAAAATCTGTTGAAAGATTACGTGAGTTTAGAAAGCAAATGAAGGAAAACTCTACTGAGGGTCATTAGGTGCAGGTAACAGCACTTCTGCTTCCATAGTCCTTGAAGATGCCTTCCAGCTTCTGCTGGTCCTTAGACATCTGTTCTTGACCATTATCGGAGCAGGATGAGATGGACCTTTAGTCTGTCTCAGTACAGCTTTTTTTTTTCTACTTTTTCTGTGGGAGGTAGTTTCTTTTGCCACAGAAAAATACAGGTGTCAGGAACTTAAAGAGTCTTAGAAAGCTAGAAGTCTTCTGAACACAGATGTTCAGCAAGCGGCATGTTCTGGGTGAGCTTACCTGAAGAGTGTCCGTTACCGGGAGCTGGTTATGTTATCCTTCTTCCCGCTGGCTACTGTTGGATGTAAGGCACACAACTAACTAGATTAACCTTTGGATTGACCCAGTACAGCAGTCCTGACTGAGTTCCGCAGTATTTCTGGGCAGGCTTGGGTTGTGGTTGCAGACCCTTGGAAACAGATTAGGCAGAGGTACAGCTGAGCCCAGATTGCTCTGTGGGCTCTGTTTACTGGGTAAAAACCCTCACTGATGTGGCTTGGTTGGAGGCTTTCCATTGTTTCAATAATTTCAGAGAAAGCAAATGCCTTTTCTGGTTTTAGTTGGTGTGAGACGTAATTTATGTCGCTCTGTAGGGTTGTAGTAACACTTTCTGTTCACATGTGTTTGAGTTTAAATCCAAATTATTTAAAGATGTGATGGCATTTTTTAGTTAATAATGAATTTTTAAAAATCTGTTTAAAAGCATATATGAGAAGAATAGTCTGTCCTCTTCAATGAAGCAGCTTCAAATTAACCTAATTTTTATTAATAAATTGATTTTTGCACTGTGCTTTAAATGTAGTATTAATTGTAATGAAGACTGAGCATTTGACTAACTGCCCAGTGTGTCTGTTTCACACTCCATGCTAACATGAGTTCATTTAAGAGGCAGTGGTGCTTATTGGTATCTGCAAAATTTGAATTGTCTCAAGACCCAGAGACACCACAGGTAACTCTCTTCTTCTGCACCACCTTTATGTACTACAGTGCTGCAGCTGTTTGTTCTACAGGGAACTTTAAGAGTTGTTCCCTCTTATTCTTGGGTACTACATGTAAAATATTCTGCAGACATTTCTTTGCCTCTTGGATGCTCACCCTTCTCATTTTATCATTTGAAGGTTGAGGATCTTCGGCTGGTAAGTGTCACGGTTTTTGTTTGTTGTTCTTTTTGAGAAATGGTGTTTGCTATTACTAACTTTGCATATTATGCCTCTTTTCTGTAGCAAGTAGTTGCTTCATAACTATGTCATAACATGTTGTCAGTACTTGAAGAAAGCTATTGCCTGATTATTCCGCTTTTGTCTTTCTCAGTTCTGTGCCAATGACCCTGAAGTGTTTGTCCAAGCAGCACTGTTGGCTCAGGATTATTGCGATGCCATAGACCTAAATTTGGGCTGCCCTCAAATGATTGCAAAGAGAGGTACGTGCAAATCTGAACCCTGGATGAACAGAGAAAGCCATGTTTCAGATGTGAACGTTGGCAGTAAAACATCAAGAGAACCAGCTTAAGTCTTGGTGGGGGCGTGGCTGCAGTACTGCTGAAGTCAGACTTATTTACACCCCCTTTAACAGGTGATGTTTTGTAGTACCTAAAACAAAAATTAGATTTGCTAGTAATTAATTCCAGCTTCTCTTGAGTGACAGCTCTTTTGTCTAGAATATCCTTCAGAAAAAGTATTTTTACCAACAGTTTGATTTTCTTTCTGATTTCAGTTGCTCAAACAACCTATTTTTGCAAAACTGCATTTAAAATTATATCGTGCAGGCACTTAGCATTTCCTGTTTCCTTGATACTTGCACAGAGTTTATTCACCTTAGTGTATAAGAGGATAGCAGCTGCTGAATCCCTTAAAGATATTGCTAATATAGCTATGTTTGAAAGCCAGAAGCAGTATTTGAAAGTTTTGGATCAGTTGGGGTGTTGAGGAAGGATTTGTTCAGTAATTGCCCATTCCTCTTCTAAAATGTCTTTCAAAGACTAATAGGAAATGATCAGTGATGTACAGAGCAAATGGATCTTTAAATCTGATCAGGTTTTATCCTGAAGGGAATTTTTAAACACCTGGTATAAACCCCTGAAAGTTGGACTTTGAGCTCCCAGTGTCAACACACCAGCCCTGGGGAGCAGCAGTGAAAGCTGGGTGTGGGGACTCATTGTTTATCCTGTAAATCGAGGGTGGCATGGGGGACAGAATGATCCAACTCTTCCAGTTGGGGCAGGACAGAGAAACTCTGCTTCTGCCAGTGAGGCATATGGGTGTCTGGAGCTTTGCACGTGAACGTTTGTGAAAGCTGTGTACTTCAGAGTCTTTCTCTTCTGTACAAGTTTGTCATATGCTATTTTGTTACAGGACACTACGGAGCATTTCTGCAAGAGGAGTGGGATCTTCTTCAGAGAATGAGTGAGTCTTCAGAGAGGCCTCACTTTAGAGAGGCTTCGCTTTGAGAGGGAAGGGGATGAACTAATCATTGAAAGGAGATTTAGGGATTTTGGGGGAAAGGAGGTGCAGCATGTTTCTTTGGGGAGGGTTGTGTTTGTTTGTTTTGTTTTTTTCCTTTCTTACTGTATTGTAGTGGCACCCTCAAGATACTTGGTGGTATCCCACTACAAGCTCATGCTAGATCTGCTAGAAGACTTCAATACCTGAAACAGACTTTAGGTGAAAGTGAGTCAATTAAGTCCCCATCTAATGATGGCTTAGTGGCTCTCCAACTCTAGAAACAACAGAACTCCCAGGGCCTTACTTTTTCACTTTGAAGTTCTTAGGTAGCAGGAGTTGCTTGAAGCCACAGTTGCCCTTTTCTGATCAGCTCGGCATACTCTTTCTGTCCACACCGTAGCAAGTTATGCCTCTCTTCTCCAAATTTGTGTAGAACATTTTCAGACATTCAGTAGCAGTTGTGAACAATAATATTTTTTTAATAAATACATTCAGAACTGATTTACAAAGCAAGGTTTTGGTCATTGTGTAGAGCTGAGAATGTGCCTTCACCCTACTTCAGAGCAAGTGTCTGAACCTTGAAGTTAAAGAGTCCTACTTCTTTTTGTATTCCCTGTGGTCCAGGGAATCTTGAATGAAATTTGGCACAAAGACACTACTGAGAACCTGGAAAGATAGACAGTGCTTCCCTGCCCAGCATGTAGTGTGGTTGTTAGGGCACTCTTCTTAGGAGTGAAAGATGCAAATCAGAACAGCCTCAAGGGGGGAAGAGAACGCAGATCATCTGGTTGGGTGAGAACCCAGGCTAATAAGAGAATTGTTTTGTTAGGCTATTGTATAAAAGGTGGGCAAAGCTTCATCTTCCCCCTTCTCGCCCAGCATTCTTTAAAATGATGGAGTACTATTTTTTGCTTGCACCTCTGTACATCTTGCTTGCTCCTTTGAAAGGGTGATAGGATGTACCTATCATTCGAGCTTCTAGGATTTGGATTAGAAGAAGGCAGGTGACGTCCTACATTTTCCATCCAAACTCTGCAAGAAAAGAGAATTTCAGGCATGGCATCACTCAGTGTTGTCCTGTTGGCTGTCGTTGTTAGCTCTCCGTGCACTGTGTGAAGACTATGGGAACTTAACGTGTTGTTCCAGATTTCACCCTGACTCTGTAACTCGGTCCACAGGCTATTGCAGTTGATAAGCCTCTGCTTGCCGTGGACAAGACTCAACTTGCCGTGATTACTTGGGTGATAATTTGGAAAGAAGCAAAGCATCTCTTGTAGGAAAGCTGGACAAGTGAGCGTTAATGTTGTTGGCAGAGTAGGAGGCGTACAAGAGCCTGTGACAATAGTAAACCTGTATCAGTAATTAAGATTTGAGGGGGGTGGTCCTTGAAAGTGAAGGTTTGATGCAGTGGAAATGCTAGGGCTATTCAAGGCTAGCTATTTCATCCTTCGTGTTAGAATGCAGATTTTGTGCTTCAGGTTTTACTATTACTTGATTAACCTATGCAATAAGGATTGCAGAGGACGTTGCTCATTGTTTAAGCTGTGAGAACTGCATAGCATTAACTTTTCAGGCTTTTTCCATACACGCCCAGTATCAGATCTTGAGGAGAGTAGGCACTTTTCATAGCATTGTGCAGTCCACTTACCTGTCTTTTCAATCTTTCCCAGTTTTACTGGCTAACGAGAAGCTCTCTGTTCCCATCACATGCAAAATCCGCGTTTTCCCAGAAATTGACAAGACAGTGAAGTATGCACAGATGCTGGAGAAAGCTGGCTGCCAGGTAAGGAGGCAGCTGCTCCCTGTGCTGTTGCATTGGACACGTGTCTGTGGGTAAAGCATCTGATGACCAGATCTTGGTGTACTGTGGAGGTGAATAGGCCACATTGTTTTACAGACAGAGAAAACAGGATGCAAAGAGATTGTGTGCTTTTGCAGTGTAGGCAGTAGGTAAATAGTATGATATGGAAGACATCGTGACTTCAGAGTCTCTCTTGCAATCACTGCACAGTGTGGCATCCTGCACTGTGGTTGAACATCTCGGTCTGACAGTGCAGCAGCAGGCAGTGTGAATGCACGAAATCCACAGGGCTGCGGAAAACCAGTACCAAAGATGGTCACCGGTAGTGAGGAAATAGGTGGCTGCCTAGGATTTAACTCCAGTTAAACTGGAAGAGACAGTCTGTAGTCAGACCCAGCACTGACAGTATGCAGGCCTTCTGCTGAGGAGCAAGCCAGATAATACATCACAAATTCCACAAATGGAAGCCCATGCAGTAGGAAGTCTGTAAGTTCTCCCAAGATACGATCTTGTCATGCTGTGGAATAGTAAGCTGAAGGAAGCCCAAGACCATGCCATGGTAGGTGAGCTGCTGCTGTCCTTCTGTGATAGCGAAGTGCCTTCACTGATGAAATAGCCATGGGAATTCAGTGGCATCCATCAAGTGTATGGGGTGAAAGGAAATTTTGGCGTGGATTTGTTCCTGTGGTTCATACACATGAAAAGTAAATGTAACTTTTGTGTTGTAGCTGCTGACTGTGCATGGCCGTACTAAAGAACAGAAAGGACCACTTGCTGGCGTGGCATCTTGGGAGCACATTCAAGCTGTCAGGTTAGTGAGCAGTGCCAATCTTAGCAGCCTTCTGGTGACGTGCTATGAAGGTAGATTTTAAGTGGAGTGTGTGGTGCCATTGAAGAGCAAACAAATTTGTGTGACAGGAGTAAAATTTCTGGGTTGCCTCTAATTCTCAATTTTATGTATCTGTTTCATTCACTGGTATAGAAAAGCTGTAAGCATTCCTGTATTTGCAAATGGAAACATCCAGTGTCTCAGGGATGTGGAAGAATGTATCCGTAAGACAGGAGTGCATGGTGTCATGAGTGCAGGTAAAGAAAATGTACTTTTGCTCATAATAGATGAGAATATGAACTGTTTCTTACTCTCCTAGCAGCCTCATATACATTTGTTAAAACCTAACTGTCTTGCTGAACAGCTTTGCTTGAAAGCTGAGTGGCCATTCTTTCTCCTCTTATACCGGCCATCTCTTACCAGGAATCACTTAGATTTGTAAGACTTGTTAGGTTGGACTTGTAGTACCATTGAGTGGACAGCTCAACTATAATTACTTGACAAAGGCATATGGGACTCCTGTTGTCCTGGAATGTTTTCATGACATCTGTTAATCAGTGGAATGGTTTTTGAATGGATTTTGATGCAGTGAGTTTGTCCGCTGATTAATATTCCTGCAGATGGTTCGTGTTTAGTTGGGACAAGAAAGAATCGGCGTAACTTCCTAGAGGAAGAGCTAGGATAGACATTAGAAAAAGCTGCCAGTCACTCGCGCAGTTAAAGCAATGAAACGTATTTTCTGGGAGGTTGTAGAATCTTATTTTTAGAAAATACTGGTTAACAAAAGGCTTGTGAAGCTAGTAGGGAAAAGCATAGCAAGAAGCAGCATCTGTAAACTTAGACCAGACAAGTGTGAATACAGACATAAGGTAGGACACCCATTGTCCAAGTATTTAACCACTGGGCAACAAAAGCAGTGATTATTTATTAATTTTTTTACTGTCTTTGCATTAAGATTGGATGCCTTTCTGGAAAATGGACTTTAATTAGATATGAGCTGTTTGGCTCAATTAAGAATCGTACAGTGAAATAGAGTATCCTGAGGTCAGGCTAGAGTTTTAGGGACCTTGCGTTCCTCTTTGTGAGTACATGGCCAATATGTCTGTGACTGGCTGGTAGAATCACAACAGAGTTGATCAAGCTCCAGAGCCTAGATTTTGCTTTCTGTTTCAATCCTGAAATGCAATTTTGAGTATTTCTTTTCATTCCCTAGAAGGTAATCTTCATAACCCAGCTTTGTTTGAGGGCCGAAACCCATTGGTGTGGGAGATGGCTGAGGAGTATCTGGAGATAGTGCAGAAGTACCCTTGTCCATTGTCTTACGTTAGAGCTCATCTCTTCAAGCTCTGGCATCACACGTGAGTATCTCCAGAGAACTCTGAATGTTTTCAGAGCTCATCCCACTTAGCAAGTGTCTGGCTTTTCTGGACAAGGATTTGTTGGGCCAGAATTAGTATGCTGAAAGGTTTTCTTTCCTGAACCTGGCTGGAGAGAATGTGGGCTGAGGCCTTTCCCCTTCACTGCATATCTGGGAAGCAGGGCATGGGGAGTGAACAAGTTACTGTAAGATAAGCTGAGGCGTGAGCTCACAGCACATCAGCTACTGCGGGGTAATTGCCCATACACACACACACACACGCATTTTATGGCAAACATGAGTTAACTAAGTCCGTGTTCGTTGTGAGGCAAGCTGTCTTGCATTTATCGTGGAGTAAGAGCATGGCCATGGGCAGTTCCTGAGGAGCAGCTGATGCACACGCACTGTATGGTCGTGTCAGCTTATCTCAGACTACCTGCTGGTGTGCCAGCTATTCATCTGGAGAAGAGGAGCAGGTATATGTGCTTTTGTCTGGACTCAGAAGAAAGAAGATAAGCTTCTACCAGGAGCAAGGGGAGCAAAAATAATCTATAAAAAGCTTTTATAAGGACATTTTTAGTTGATTTCCTCAGTCTAGCGATAATGAATAACTATGACTTAATGTTTGGGATTTGCCTCAGGCTTCAAGTTTACCAGCAGCTGCGTGAAGAATTAGCAAAAGTGAAGACACTGGAGGGCATTGTAGATGTCAACAGGGAGCTGAAACTACGATGTCAGGTACCAAGATGAGCCCTAATGTCACAGAACAACACTGTCCACACTGGGTGGGAACTTCCTGTGTATGTCATGCAGTTGATGTCTGTTAGTCACTCTATTGGAACTTTGTGGCTTACCGACTTTGATATTTGTATTTTACTACAGTAGCAACCCCTCAAGCCTGAACAGTTTTACCTAGGACAAAGTTGATGTAGGAGTTACAAATCTGCTTCAACTGATGTGTCTTAGCGGAGGTTTTTTGCCTGTATTTAACTGTCAGTAACTGTTAGTTTAATTTCCAGTTTGTGGTTGGTTAGTTAGTGTGTCTATTTCCTGAGAACTCCAGGAAAACTGACTGTAACTCTATGCTGCAGGAAGAAATAGCTAATCAGAAAGAAGGAGAAAAGCCAAAAGAAGGGTTGCCTTTTTTCCACTGGATCTGTCAGCCATACATCAGGCCAGGGTGAGTTACCTATTCCAACACAGACAGGTACCGACCCATACCATCAGTACAGAGCCATCCAGTTCTGTTCTAGGAGCTTACATTCGTTTGAAAATAAGTGAAGACTTTGGATTATTTTTATTCTGGTTTGTTTTTTTCCTGGTTATCTCTTTGTTTGTGGGGATGTTGCTCACTGTACAAATCTTCTCCTTTAGCTCCTCCTCAGAGTTCTGTCTCTCTGGAAAGTAAAAACCAAGAATTCCACTGCAGCTCAGAAAGAGAACCTGATATGCAACAGATATGCTACTTGACAGTACTTTATTGTTATATGTAGTACGAGTGTTGCTGGTAATTATCAGGGCAGCAAAGAAGGGAACTAAATTGTATTCTATAGAGGCTGCTTGCATTGTACAGATGAGCTTTTCAGATAGCTTATTCCCTTTCTGTTGTGAAAATTGGGCTGAAGAAGAGAACAAGCGTGTCAAGATTAATACTTAAGTAAATACTTAATTAAAACCTGGGAATAACAGACTAAGAGGCTCCTAACTAATTTGACTGGCCAACTTTCTTTGACTTTCCAACCAATATATCTGACACTGTGTCTTTTATTAACAGCCAATGTTAACAAAAATGTTAAGTTTTTCTACTCCACTTCTAAGGACAATGACACTTCCTTGTAATTTAGTCATGATAGAAAGGTTTACAGTTTACCCAGATTTCTGTAAACCAGAATAGTGGCCAGGGAACAGCTTCTTCATCCCTTCAGCCAACTTACGATGATATTCATTGTTTCAGGCCAAAGGTGAGATGCAAGGAGAATGGAGCCAGTGGGACTGAAAGAGGTGTGCGAGGGAAACGTGCACTAGAAGAGGAGGAAGATGGAAATTCTGAGCTTCTGTCAAAGAATAAGCAAAAAAAGAAGTTAAGAAATCCAAATAAAAGCTTTGATCCATCTTTGAAACGTAAGTTCCATTTATTGGCATAAACGCATGGAAAGTTGCTGATACCACATTTGACATAAAGTGCCACTATTTACTTTCTTTGCTTATGTAGCTGTAGAAACTTCTTTAAAAAGAGAGCGAATTATCGGAAAATTTTGGCAGTAGGCAATGTGATTCAAATTATATTCATTAGTAAAGAAAACAAGATACAAAGAAGTAGGTCACTGATCCACTCTAAGCATCTTTTTAAGATCAAAATGCTTTACAAACTAAACTGTAGCTGTCACTAGCACTTGAAATTGAAACTTCGTATGCATTTCAAGTCGATGTCCTCCCCTTTTACACTTGACTTGAGGATTAAAGTTTTCTGTGTTTGGATTTAACTTAGAGGTACTTAAAAAGTTAAAGTATCTTTACCTTTGCACTGTTCTTTGAGGTACTGTATTTTTATTTCAAAAAGAGTCTCTCTGGCTAGAAGAGCGCCAAGCTTTGTCTGATCATGATTTTTTAGAATTACTTCTTCCACATAAAATACCATTGCTGAAATCAGGTCTCTCTCTTTTTTCCAGCCAAATATGCAAAATGTGATCAATGTGGAAACCCTAAGGTAAGTCAGTGCCAGTGTCCATTAAAGTATTTCCAGTAAATGGGAATTAGATGACGCAATGTCTGGATGGAGATCAGTGATGAGCCGTGTCCCTCAGGGGTCCGTACTGGGACCAGTGCTGTTAAGTACCTTTGTCCAATGACACAGACAGTGGGATCGAGTGCACCCTCAGCAAGTTCGCAGACGACACCCAGCTGAGTGGTGCGGTGGATGCGCCTGAGGGATGGAATGCCATCCAGAGGGACCTGGACAACCTCATGAGGTTCAACAAGGCCAAGTGCCAGGTCCTGCACCTGGGTCGGGTCAACCCCCAGTATCAATACAGGCTGGGGGACGAAGGGATTGAGAGAAGCCCTGAGGAGAAGGACTGCTGGTGGATGGAAAGCTGGACATGAGCTTGCAGCCCAGCAAGTCAGCCATGTCCTGGGGGCATCCCCAGCAGCGTGAGCAGCAGGGCGAGGGAGGGGATTGTCCCCCTCTGCTCTGCTCTGGTGAGACCCCCCTGGGATGCTGCACCCAGCTCTGGGGTCCTCAGCACAGGACAGACCCGGAGCTGCTGGAGCGGGGCCAGAGGAGCCACGGAGATGGTCCGAGGCTGGAGCAGCTCCCGTGCGAGGACAGGCTGAGAGAGTTGGGGGTGTGCAGCCTGGAGAAGAGAAGGCTCCGGGGAGACCTTATTGCAGCCTTTCAATACTTAAAGGGGGCTTATAAGAAAGATAGGGAGAGGCTTTTTTAGTAAGGTCTGTTGCAATAGGACAAGGGGTAACTGTTTTAAACTAAAAGAGGGAAGATTCAGACTAGATATAAGGAAGAAGTTTTTTACTATGGGGGTGGTGAAACACTGGAAAAGGTTGCCCAGAGAGGTGGTAGATGGCCCATGCCTGGAAACATTCAAGGTCAACATTCAAGGTTGGACAGGGCTCTGAGCAGCCTGATCTGGTTGAAGATGTCCCTGCTTATTGCTGGACTAGATGACCTTTAAACAACCTGTTCTATGATTCTGAATCCTGAGGTGGGTCCATGCCAGTGTCCAGTAATGCATGCATACCGAGTCCTGCAGATATGTAGGGGGAAAAAAAGTCCATACTTGGGCAAAAGCCTCTTAACTGTGACCAGTCTCTGAGGTGAAGGTGCTGCACAAAAAGCACTAATGTATGAAGGTTCTTTGAGATAATTTGCCTTCCTTTCCAAAGAAGTGCAGTCTTACTGCTGCTGAAGATTCTTACGGCTGTTCCATGAGTTAGATGAACTTCCCAAGATCTCTTGGAAACAAATCTCCAAACTTCCAGTAACTACACATGGATAGAATCATTAAGGTTGGAAAAGACCTCAAGGAAACAAGCTGGCTGTTTTCGAGGCTGTGTATAGGACATAGGTATTTGAAACTTTATATATGAAACTTCAAATACTTGATATTTCAAAAGAGTTCATTGGCTGGTTTGTTTGTCTGTTTTCTCTTGGGGAACACAGCTTGTTTCCTTGAGAGGGGGATGTTGCTGAGCTGAATGAGCAGAGTGTATTTATTGCTGCTAAGAGGCCCGTGCACGCAGATGTACAAGCAGGGTGTACGATGCAAGGAATAAGTTGGTGTTCTAGCTGAACAAGCAGCATTACAGCTATGGCAGGGGAGACAGGGACACGCATGTTGTAACACTGTCAGAGCACCTTAGGAATAGCAGCCAGCTGCGGCTCAATTTGGAGCTGCAGCTGCAGAATAAGATGTTTTTCTTGCTGCGTTCATTATTTGGAAAGCATTGAGCATTCACTTGGCCTGCTTTCCAAGCTGTCCTGTTTCATAGCTAACCTTGGTGACACAGCTCGGTGCAGCAACCAGGATTGTCTGAAGCTGGGCTTGGTCTCATTTTTGTTTTGCTCTTACATCACTGTAATGGTGAATGTGGAATGTGTTTGGGTTGGGTTTTTGGGGTGGTGGTATTTTTATTGTTGTTCTCTTTGTACAGCTGGGGCTCCCCCCATGCGACATCAGCTCTGTCATCTTCATTAGACTGAGGTGTGACTGCCCAATATACAAGTTCATGTTTTTTTCCCAGTGGTCTGAATGTGCACAGCTGTATTGTTGTTGTTTATTATAGTAAACAATAATAACTATATTTTCACTGATACAAGCTTCTTTACACCCCCATCCCAACCCAGGGCAATAAATGTGTGTTTAACATGTGCCGAGGATGCTGTAAGAAAAGAGCATTCAGAGAGACAGCAGACTGCCCAGGTAAGTGCAGCTGTCCTTACAAGCCACTGAGCAAATGTCTCATCTCCCATGTATATTCATGACTTTAATATTTCGTTATGGGTGTGGGAGTGTGTGTTAAAATCCACATACACAGCTATCCAAAAATTTATACTACAATTTTAAAAGCCTGCTTTTCCTTCTTTGTGCGGTGTTTCACCTGCTTCCAGTGCTTGGGATGCATAGTTTCCAGACTACGAGGACCCATTCTTTATAACTGTAAGGAATGAGCTGTTCTGTTTACCAGTGCGGTCATCTCATTTCAGGGTGTTCTTTTTTTCTTCCATCCCCCCAACCCCCATCCTTGCTTCTTCAGGTCATGGATTACTTTTTAAGACCAAATATGAAAAATCCCTTTCATGGCAGAGTAGTCAAAGAGTAATTCAAAACCCAGAGCACAGTCGGAGAAGAGATGTAGATGTGGGGGAGACTGCTGTACTGAAGGAGGCTGGTGACAGTGCAGTGTGAAGCTTTGGAAATGAATAGTTAAAGAGCTCCTGCCAGGCCTCTGCTTCCCTGGGCCAAAGAACATGTCGTCTCCAGCTCACCACCAGCTGTGTGAACTTGTTCCACAGGTTTATTATAAGTTCTGGAAAAGTTTTATTTAAGTGAAAAGCTGCTTACTCAGGGAATTATCCTGCATTTGAAATAAAAAGGATGCAATTAAATTTCTAATGCTGTGTTTTAAAGACTGAAAATGCTGCATTTCTGGGTGGGGACAACCAATATAAGCTGCCATCACAATCTGCCTCTTTTATGTTCATTAACCCTTCATGTCCTGTTTTTAATATTTGGGAATAAATTTCTTGTATTAGAACAGCGTTTTGGCACGCTAAAAATAGCAGTGTCAATGACTTCTTCATTAATTGAAAATGCATCGCTTTTGTCTGAGTTTCAGCAGGCTGTGTTTTCAATGCAGAAAGGAATCTAGCAGTACTTGGAAAATGTGGATGTAAAACTGTAAGATGCTGCTATAACCACATTGTGTATTATTAGTTTTCCATAGTATGATAAAGCTTAACGGTCTCCCATAAGCCAAAGGTTTGGGGAAAATGAAGTCTCTATTTTAAGAGAGGGTTGTCTGATACTATGTGCTGAGTAAGTTCGAACGAAGTCCATGAGCCTTTTCCCTGCTCAAATTCTCATACTTAACTGTATGATCATTCTTTCTCCTTCCCACTTGATAAATTCTGGGAGAAGTGTGTCAAAACCAGATGCAGGTCTACACGTGCAAGACCCCCTACCTGGCTTTTACCCTTTTTTCCTCATGGGCTTTGTGTGTCTCTAGGCACATGGTCAGTGTAGCCTGCCCATGTTCAGTATGCTGTAAAGAATGTCAGCAGAAAGAAGAAAAAAAATCAGCAATGGTATGCAGCTTTTTGTAAACTGAAGACATGGAAGTCAAGCCATCCCATGCTTCAGCTAGAATAAATAAAGATTAGCTCAGCTTTGAAAATTTATCTCCCTGTGGCCTGTTTTCTGAATGCAGCTTACTTCATTGCATGCTGTGTGCTGCCACTGCATGAAGCTGCACTCTTGAGCATCTTTCTTTCTCGTCACGTAGCCTACAGAAGGGAACAAAGCAGCGATGCATCTTGGAGCTTTTAAAACAGGCAGTCTAGCCATGCTTGGTCTGGCAAAGGCGGCATGCTCTGACCGAACCCTGTACAGCACTAGAGTATAAACGGTAAAATTAGCAAGTGTTAGCTATTGTTCCTGCAAGGAAAGTGGAGAATAGGCCAGCGGGAACAGGTAGGAGAAAGAGGGAAACGGTGTGGGATAGGAAGAGCAGGAGATGATACAGAGTTCTGTGCCTGGTCCGGGTCCTGCCCACCTGAAAGGAGTTGCCTGCAACAGAGCACGTGCCGGGCTCTGAGGGGTAGAGAGCCCAGGCACTGCCCTGTCCATGGACCTGCTTCCAGCAGCTGCCTCTGCTTCACGTGGCCGGACCAGCAAGAGCTTTGGCATATGTTTATGAGCACGCCCTGCTTGCTAGACTAAGTCAGGTCCACCTGTTTTAATCCAGTAAATTTGTCTCCATGGAGGCAGGTTTTATTCATAACTCGTCTTAATTTTTTTATTTTAATTTATTCTAGGCTGCTGTGTAACCTAACATTTCTCTAACAGCCCACTGCAGCACTGTCCTAGCCCGTAACAAGAAGTTATATTGTGGTTTGCAAGCCAATGCAGCAAGCAAATTGCCAACACTAAGTCTAGCAAGTGGACCATCCTACAGTATGTAATAACGTATTCGGAGGGGATGCGCTGTATTACCACTTTCTCATCTACAGTTCTGAACAGTAGAAGGTTTGAGGTTTGGCTGGGTGGGTTGCTGCTTAAGTTCATAGAATCACTCCCCCCCAATCAAGAGCCCAGCCCCCACCCTTCCCCCCATCTC